TCCTCCCTAAAACAGCTGCATGATAACTTCTTAGAGTAAAGAGGAACCTGTTTCTAACAGTCTCTTGTCTCACACACCTCAACCAACACTGGATGGGATGTTTCTGTTGAGGTAGGAGTCTGTCCTGGGCCCGGTCAGAAAGCGGATAGTGAAAATTCTGATTATGTTCAGCCTGTGATGAGGGAAACTGAGGTTTTCTGTTTCAGAGAGTGAGAACAGATAACCCGTAGATCAGTAACTTTGACAAGGTTAACAGGATAAGTTGGAAAACCGTCAATTTCTCTGACTCCTCCCCTCTTGCGGAGCCCAAGGCGGCTGTGTGACACACTTTTTCATTTCCTCATTCATACTGTCGATATCAAAGCATATTTAAACGCATCTTTAAAAATTTTTAAATCCCGGTCAGATAAGCTATTCATTTTTTACCCAAACATGAACTTAGAGCTTTATAATCAATCAGTCATCGATGTATAGACAGTTACCTTTGTGGATTTATCCTCAGCACAGAATAAAATAATAATAAAAATCTATGTCCTTCTTTAGGTACAGTATAAACTCTGACTCTGTGGACAGTTGCACTGAAAACACAACTTTGAGCTACATCACTGCAGTAATCACTGTTTAAACTATGAAAACGGATCAGTGAACAGTAACCTTTCATATTGTAGTGTTTTTCATTATTAGCTGCATATATTCTGAATGTGTCTTGACAGCATTAATAAAATACAAAATTGTCAAGATTTTATTAATGTAAAATAGACATCTAAAACTTTACAGTCAGTTTGAACCTATAGACAAAAATATTATGATAGGCTACCTGCTGGGTGTGACTGTGACTTTACAATCACAGCTTCATTAGTAAACCGTCTTATATTTTTCTATCACCTGTTTTCATAGTCAGGTAGCAGATTGCCACCAGCATTTAGTCCTGTCAGGTTACAGCTTAATAAATATAGCCTTCCTATTTAAAATGAATGTAATGGGCTGTAGGAGAATTCCAGCACTTTATCATTTATTAAGAAAATTCCGGTCTGTTAAAGATGACTGTGCAACACTGTATAAAGAGTACTAATGTACTAACGTATTGATCCTCCACTCCTGAGCCAATCATGGTCCATGACCATGGTGAATCGTAGTATTGGAGCTCCATTGATGATGTCTTTTTTTCATCCCCTCACACGCACTTCCATCAGGCTCAACATAGTCATTTAACTAATTCTGATTAGCTATTCTGAAACCGAAAACTCAGAGTTTCACACTCAGGCTCAGTCAACTCAAAGCTCAGGGACAAGCTCAGAGTTTAAGCCTTGAGGAGAATACACATTAAAAGAATACATTATTATATAGGCCTACACATTAATAAATAAAAGATAAAAACATTTATATGAGCGCCATCAAATGCACCTACTACTCCTGTAAAGCCAGCTGTTTGCATGAACTGTGTTTACTTCTGTCGGATTACGGGGGAAGTTGATTAAACGTGTGACGATGTGTGTAGCTGTAAGTGCTAAAATTGTTTCTATGACTATTCAGCTTATTGATGGTTGTGACAGATCACAATGCTCTGCATTGTTGCTTTTGTCCTGTGGAAAATAAATGAAGCGTCATCACAACCTTCAGTTTAACTGAAAAGGCATGACTGCGTAAAGTCAGTGGTGAGGTGACGTTCCTCACCAACTCGCTGACAAAGATGATGCCTGCGCTGTCCGCCCCCCCGTCTTATTAACTGCACGTCCTTAAATCAGAAACATTCTTCCTCTCCTGAAAGATGCATGTCTCTGTCTCCACAGCGCCATCACAAGCCCCTACTGGCAGCTCCTAACCACATGGGATCACATTTAAGAATTAAAGTGCTACTGGTTTTTTGGTTTATTTTTTACTAAAATGACATAAAAAAAAGAAAATCAATTATAATCAAGGTATGAGATTATAAAAAGAAATTTACAAATGAAGCAAGGTTTTTCATAACTATTGACTTTGGTCCTGTGGCTCGTCTTCGTTTTGGAACTAGGTGATGCTCAATCTCATCCTCTTCTTCAAAGTCACTGTCACAATGTCAGAAATGTGATCTTCACATTCTGAAACCTCTTCTTGTACATCATCAAAATCTTCTGTCTCTTCCAAAATCAATTGCAAGGCCCTCTGAGCATTAATTTTTTGGCCATCTTGATCAGTTGTGATAAGAAACCACACTAGTAAAGCTACATTTATTGTGTCCCGCCCCCAATTTAGAGAAAATAAATATTGGTTCCCACAAGACAGAGGGTAAAATGTGCAGGAATGTGAGAGCAGACGGTGTTGGTGCTTAGATTTTGCAACAATGTTGGGACCTTGTGCGGGAACGGCAGGTGCAGAAACACAAAACTCACACAGGACAGGAGGAGGACAGAGTAAAGGTACACAGGACCTACAGTTTCCACACTTTTATTAGCCTCAGGTCCAGTAGACCCAGACATCCTGTGTGTAATGTAAATGTGTAGGGGGGTGTACAGTGTGTTTTCATTGAAAATGTGTTCTGATATATATTCTTCACAGAAAATGAGCCAAGGCCAATGAGTTTGAAAAAATAAATAATGGTATAATTTTTCTTTTGATAAAAAATGAAAACAGGTCCAACAGACCCGAACACCATACAAGGGTTAATAATCCATATTGTCAGGTGTGGCATTTTACTCATGCTGACTGCATGGTGGCCACATAAGGGACAGGTAAATAATTTAAAAACAAAGCAGAATTTCAAGAAAATGTAAATGATTTGTATATTAGCCCAATTTTGAGTAATAATAAATAATAATGTTGTATAAATGTATGTAAAATCGTGTATGACAGGGTTAATTCTTACGTAATTATGTATTACAGTAGTATGAGACATCATGTAGCACCTTATTTCTTCATGTGGCTGTTGTTTATTAATGAACTAGTAACAATAATATTCAAAAAAACAGATAGTTTTACATAATTTATATAATTTCTTAACACATCTATCTAAAGAAACTCATTTCTTGACTGGCAACTCTTCTATCTCATAGATTACATCTTTGTCCTGTCTCAGGCACCGCAGCTATACCGCTCACATGAATAGGGGAGGGAAAGTCAGCACTAGATGTCACTAGAACTTACACACTTAACCTTTAAAGGGAACATCAGTATAAAAGTGTAAAATCCTTGGCTGAGCTGATGGGGGTTGTGAGGCAGCTGAGATGAGCTCCTTGGAGGTCCTACTCTGCTCCCTGAGCTCCTTCCTCTTCAGTCGACCCTCCTTCAGCTGCAGAAACACCCAGGTTATAATAATCCAGCTCAATGTCCTCCTGCCTGCCCGGCTTCTGCCCCCTGCTGGCCTGGAGAGACATGACAGCACACATGAGAGTTAGTGCATCACTCCTCCTCTTCTTCAGGTCAGTAAACACAGACCGAGTGCTTCATCTCAGTCCTCTAAACAACAGACATGTGTCAGTACCTTATAGTAGAAACAAAGGGCAGCGATCACCAACAGCAGAGTCAGCGGCAGGACGACCACTTTGATGAGAAGACCTGTTGGATCTGATCAAACACATGGACAGACATCACATCACACAACATCATGAGTCCATCAGCTCCTGTTAAACACAAACTGTAGTGACCTGAAATCTCCCAAAACCACTTCAGTCCGTCAGTAATCAACAGATATCTGAACGCAGAATCTGGAGGCAAGAGACAAGATTTTGGTATCGAAAGCTTCCTGGTTTTGGCTTGTTGTCCGAGTAGTATGGACCAATCATGTTTAAGCAGGCTTTGGCTTGGTGTCTGATTCTGGCCTATAGAAAACAAAACTCGATTTGTTTCCCTGACACACTAGGATGCAGGACCTCTGCATCTTGGAGTGGGAGTTAAACCCAGGCTTTGTTCACTGACTCCTGTGAGGACATGGTGGAGCAACCTGATGCAGGGTTTACTGCTTAGTTTAGCTAGCTCCCTGTTTGTGAGGAGGAGGGCGATGAGGACGGTGAAAATGATGTCACCCTACAGCAGATCTCCTCGTTATCTCTAGCGTTGGGAGTAACATGTTACAAAAGTAACAGTTACAGGAATGCATTGCCTTTTGTTGTAATGCAGTAATATATCACATTACTAAAAAAACCCGTTCCAATCTTAGTAACGCGTGTGACAACACATTTCTGAAATTAAGTTTTGTTTTTTAATAATTCAATACAGAGAAACATTTCAGGCCCCCGCGGGGTCGCTCTTTGCTCCGATGATCAGAAAGGGAGAAAAGCGCTCTGCAAGTAAACGCCAGGAGCTCTATGGATAGTAACCATGGCAACTGCTACCTAGCTGTAGCCTATTTAACTTAAGTTAAAGTTATAGGCTACATAACTTTACCTGATAGGCCTTTATCTAGTTTTGCGGGGTTGCTCTGCCATACAAATTCCCTCGTGTTGATGTCCTATTTAGTAAACATAGATTCTGGAAACTCACAAACAGCGAGGATCAGTCTCTCTTCCAATGATTTGTGCTGCGCGTCGCGTACAAAAAGTTCAATGCAATTCAACTTCGGCGGACACTCGCTACTGAACATAGACTGTTTCTGCTGCTCCCTGCTAAAAGAAAAATGTTTCAGCTGATACTTGTTCAGAAACAAAGAACAAGAAAACAAATTTATATAGGCCAGATTCTATGTTACCCTGTTGCTCAGAAGGTGCCTGTTATGATGTTCTGATCGTGGCTCTGGACTCTGATGGTAACTTGTTCTAACAAGCTAATAAAAGGTAATGCCCTGGCAGTGGCAAATAGCTTTGGTTTAATATTTCATTTGATTACATTAATGTTGAAGGTGAGATTTACAAGAAATATTTTATTGCTGCTGTGTAAAGGGAACACTGCTGGTAAACAGCTCCTTATTTGTTTAAAGTGTTTGCAAACCACATGTTATTGCACTTGTGTATATAGCAGTATATTTAAAGGAAAATTGTGCAATGCACGATTAATCGCAATTTAAAATTTTTATCATTGCCCAGCACTAAATAAAACTAATTACTCTCAAATGACAGGAACTAGTATGTATATCATTTTGGAAGTAACTTGACCAACACTGGTTATTTCACCAATAACAACAACAACAACACATGCACGGCATTTACAAAAAATGCCGTGAGAAGACAACCAAATACAGAAATGCTGCAAGTAGCACAGAAGACAATTGAAACAGTTTTCAGGGACTTGCTACCAAAACGTACATGTTAGCTCAGTTTCCAGTGCGTTGTGGCCTGCAGGGCCACCGTACCTGACATCAGTCACAGAGTCAGTCAGAAACACAACATCCTTGGAAACTGTCAGCTGATCGTGTTCAGTCAGTTTGGACGGATCATCTTTTCCAAAGCTGCATGGAAACAGTCAGTGTGACGTTTCAGCTGCTCTGCTTCAGCTTACCTGAGACAGTGAGAGACAGCCGACGGCTCTCAGAGGAGAAGTCATGAGAAAAAACATGGAGGTGATAAACACAGCTGTAGCTTCCTTGGTGGGCGGCTCTGCAGCAGGAAACAGGAAGTGGGCAGAGTGATTGACAGCTGGCTGGGTGTAGTTGTGTGATGTGATGGAGGAGGTGAAGGCGAGCTGGAAGGAGCCTCCTGGGTACTGTGGCTGGATGGAGCAGCTGATGGTGAAGGTGGAGCCACTGAAAACCTGAAACCCCTGCTGCTGGGCCTCTGAGAAAGGAAGTGATGTCACAGGTCTGACACGAGTAACAAACATGGAGCAGAGCGATGACAGACTGTAAAAGGAGGGACTGGATCCACCTGGTGGGACGTCCCCAAACACAGAGACAGACAGACAGACAGGTTCCTCCAGGTGTGTCCTGTCAGGTGAAGCTTCCAGAAACAAGCCCACCTCTCTACACTTTAGGACGTCACTGTCCTGGAGAACTTTACAGTTCAGTCCAATGGAAACCACTGAGACACTGAGACAGAGGAGAGGACACACTGGAGACATTACTGTCATACATGATGTCATAGATCATGTCACTGATGGGCTTACCTGAGCAGGTGAGATCCAGGATGAAGGAAGAGGATATGATGATGCACAGTCCCTCAGAGCAGATCCAGACTGAACACATTTAGAGCTGATCCCCCACACAGGTCTGTCTGAGGACTCCTCTCTCTGTCCTACAGAAACAGCAGAACCACAATCCAGATCTCTACAGACAACAGCTGCTGTCTCCAGGGTCCAGACAGAGTAAATCACTGGTGTCCAGTCTCCCAGATGTTTCAGTTCCAGTGTTCCTGCACAGCGACTGGCTCCTCCCACCAACCTGACATCATCAGGCTCTGAACAGAAACCAGAGAGTCATCAGTAAAACAATAAAGTGAGTTTCATCAGAAGAGAAATGAAGCAAATCAAAGCTGCAGCTCCTCTTCTACCTGAGCAGGTGAGTCCAACAGCTTTTCCAGGTGAGCAGGTGTTTCTAGCTGAGCCTGAGCTTCTACAGTCCAGGAGAGCAGACTCATGGCCTCCACACTGGAACTCTTTGGTCCACATCGGAGCCTCCACTTCTCCATAGAGCGCCCCCTGGAGGACTGAAGGAGCCCCACAGCCGAGCTCCTACAGACCACCTCTGCATCCTGCTGGTCAAAGTCAGCTTCACACACTGAGGACCACCACTGGTTAGACTGGTTAGACTGGTTAGACTTCACCTCCAGTCTGCCTGAGCACAGACTAGTCCCGTCCAGCAGCCTGACAGAGTCTGGAGAGATAATAGAAGATGAAGTAGAGATAAAGACACCAGACACAAAATAAAAACATGTCATGAAACAACAATTCAGTGATTCAAACTGGACTCAGCACAACTCCAACATCAGTTCATCATTAACAACAGAACACGTCTTTCTAACAGCACAGACATTTACATTTAATACTCTGTCACACTTGTTCTCCACGTCTGAACACTTTCAACATGTTTCCAAACAGCAGCACAACATCATCATCTGCAGATTTCTCTGTTCTGTTCCTTCTGCTCAGGTTCTCCACAATCATTGCTCTGCACACAAACCAGTTCAACACTTTTCTTTCTGTCTTAATGTTCCAAGAAGACCTGTGACCCAGAATAAAAACCTGGTTAGAAAATAATCCAACAACTCTCCCCGGTGTCATGTGACTCGTTAGTGTTACAAGGTTACAGCAGCAGAAAGTATTTTTCTGTAACAGTGGACTCTACACTCCTGACCTATACTGACCAGCTGACATTCAGTGTTAGATTTGTGAGTAAAGTGGTGTAAATAACCAAACAATTTGTTGGCTTTGAACCAAATAAGAGTCACAGAGGGGAGAGTCTGGCTGACACTGGAATGGCTATCCATGACAGTTTGAGATTAGTTTTTGCAAACTGCAGAGGTCAGCTATATGACAATGCAAGATAAAGATATTGAGAGAGAATAACCTACATAAAATATAGAATTATCATCATTGTGAAAAGAAAAACCCTCCAGATTCTTTATTTTTTTATATCAGATACTTTCAGGTTTTAGTAAAGTTGACCTATGCTGTTTGCATCTTTGATATCAATTCACTTCAATATGCTTTATTGGAATCAATAAATTGTTAGTTACACAATTTGGCAGCAAAATGTTTACATTTAGATTATAACACAGGAGCGATTCTAGGATCAGACCTTTAGGTGTGCTCAGCCCCTAATGAGAATATAGCATGCATACAATACTTTGCAAAAGTGTTCACTAATTGGTGGAGAGTATAGTTAGGCCTACTAGAGAGGAGCTGGTGCAGAGCGGAGCGGGTCGTGGAGCGGTTAGGGTCAGACAGCAGTGTGGAGCTGTAGGCTCGTGTTTACTCCCTCAGAGGAGGGAGGGTGTTAAAGTGTTTCCCTAATTTAAGTGTTCACTCTCGTGTTTTCAGTATTATTTCATTGTTAAAAAAACTTTTATTTTGGTTGCACAGAATCTGTGGAGTATAAATGATCTCTATTAGTATAATATTCTAACTGTAGGAGCCATTTATGTTTATTGTTGGCGTGATATTTTATTTTTCTTTGGATATATTTATATTAGTATTTTGGACACTGGGTGGCAGTGATTAGATGCACGTGGTTGTATATAGAGGGCATAGGTGACAGGAAGTGGTAGGCACAGGTAGGGGGAGCACAAACAGTTCTGGCCAGACCACAGAGTCAGAATACACGCAAACAACTGGAAACAAGATAAGAAATCAACCGCTATGTTCATCTGTTTGTACTATTTACTGCTGCAATAAACCACAAACCTCATCTGCAATAATCTCTCTGGAAAATCATCTTGTGTGTCTGCTTAAAAACTTCCCTCCTACCTGTGCATGATGGCAAAGAGACTGGAAACAAAGCTAAAGGTAAAGCAAGAAAAATTGCTATCATACTAACATTAAATTAAAACTGATTTCATAGCCAGGCCTACTGTTAGCAGTGTTGGGCAGGAACTGTAATAATATTACTTTCTCATTTTACATTTACTCTTTTTCCAGATAACTATTTACAAAACAGTAACATTATTACAGTTACTAATCCAAGTAACGCTGCAGTACTGACTTACTGAACGCATCATCCTTGGCATAAATACGCGACTGGGCGGCAGGTCAGCTGCACTGGACCTGATGTTATTCAAGTCAGCTGTTAGCCAACAAGCTAAAGTAAAGTAGAAGGAAGAATGGAGAATGATTGAGAGAGACGTTCGTAACTGTAATTATTGCCATAATTATAATTATTGCCATTTTGTTTTGGCCACCAGTCTAAAAACAGTGGAGGATCTAGTATGTAGTACAACATTATTACATCAAATAAGAAGTGTAATGTTCATTTAATAGTACTGTTTAGTTGTAGTATATTGATTACTGTATTCATGATAATTTCATATAATGTTATACTTTTTACAGTTTTTTTAACACGCTGAAGTTAGCTTCCAATTCGCAGCTTCCGATTCTGCAGTTAAGGGGAAGTTAAGGAGAACTTCAGTGAAAGTTAACGTTGCTGAGCGACCGAATCTCCGTTTTTTGCACCTCTTACTGCTGTGAAAGCTGTTGTGCATTTTAGGCAAAGCCTTAACGCTGTCTGAAACACTTTTTTAGATTTGACATAACTTTCACTGCTTTTTCTCCACATGCAGACCACATTAGACCAGGTCCAGATCCAAAACCACTATACCTAGAGCTCTCAAATCTGGACTAGATTGTCCAAAGAGGCTAAAGTTTCAATCAAACATAGTTTCCTTTTTTCAATTTGTGAAAATACTTTAAAGGACATTTATCTGCTGTTTTCACATGTAGACCACATTAGACCAGGTCCAGATTAATGGTCTGATTGGTTCTCATGTCTGAATTTGCAGCACCACCATCTGCCTCTCAAGCTGTCTTTGAAAATGGTTAACAGTTGAAAACATTCATTAGAAATTTAGAAAAGTTATGTGATAAATTACTTTGATGGAGTAACTGAAATAGTTAACCTAGACTACTGTTACATTTGAAATAGGGTAACTTGTAATTGGTAACCTATTACATTTCCACAGTTACCTTCCCAACACTGCCCACTGTTACATTTTTTTGTGGAATGTTTCCATTTATAAAATCCATGTGCAAGAAACACAGTCTACATTGGTCTCTAATTTATTAATGCAGTAAATACTTGTCAATAATCAGAACCATTCATGCAGAACAGTTATGGTAGTTTATAGTCTTTACTCGTAAATCATTTTTCCTCTTTGCATGAATCTATTTTTATGGATAAATGCGAGTGAAATACTCTGTAGAGCCCTGCATCATCCATCCTGGCAACTGCTCCCCTCGTGCTGCTGTTCTTCTTGTTTTATTGGCGGGTGCCGTTGACTTCCTGTCTCTGTTACAGCTGATGTTCTAACGTTACATACTGCAACTGGCTTTACCGGAGGGGAACGTAGCAAACATTTCAAATACGCCCAGCGGCATTTTTAGAAAGGTTAAAATTACAGCAGAATAAAGGGAGGGTTGACAGGTGTGTTCATGCTGCTACCAGGGATGTACTGATGCTGAAATTCAGCCCTGGACTCTGAGATGGAGCGGACTTTTCTGTGAGTTTGCAGTTATTTTAATACTAATAGCCAGTGAGTCACACTAAGCAGGGAAATGTCTTGATATTGTTGCTGCTGGTCCAGGACAGCGTTGTTGCAAGCATGTGGTGTAAATCCTGCATGATGGAGGACGTGTACAGGTGTTGATATTGTTCTTCAGACTGTGATCATAGGCTGTAACCTGTCAGCATAAATCCTGTATAAGCTAAAGATGTTTCCTACAAATAATACCCTGGAATTCAAAACCTTAATTGTGCATGTGTGTGGGGGGGACCTACAAGACAAATTGTCCAGGGGCCTCTGACTTCTTAATCCGGACCTGACCTCGGTACATTACTGTCATAGATGATGTCACTGATGGGCTTACCTGAGCAGGTGAGATCCAGGATGGAGGAGAGGAAACTGATTCTGCACACTCCCTCAGAGCAGATCCAGACTGAACACAGTCAGACCTGATCCACCACACAGGTCTGAGTGAGGACTCCTCTCTCTGTCCTACAGAAACAGCAGAGCCACAGTCCAGATCTCTACAGACAACAGCTGCTGTCTCCAGCATCCAGTCATAGTAATAGCTACTCACTGGTCTCCAGTCTCCCCGTTTCAGCTCCAGTGTTCCTGCACAGCGACTGGCTCCTCCCACCAACCTGACAGGCTCTGAACAGAAACCAGAGAGTCATCAGTAAAGAAGGATTCTAGAGACTAAACTGATTCTGCTTCTGTGATTCTTTCTTTCTCTTTTCTTTCTCTCTTTACCTGTTGAGGTGTGTCGTCCTTCAGCCTGGAGTCCTGTGATTGGAGCACAGCCGTGGACAGAAAGAACAATCAGGTTGTTTTGTAAAGAACTTTCTATCAGCTCAGAAACATCTCAGTGAACTCCCTCTGGACTCATGTTACCAGTTTACTGTAGGTGAGATCAGTGGTGGAAAGTAACAAAGTACAAATACTTACTGTACTTAAGTAGGTTTTTTTCGGTATCTGTACTTTACTTGAGTATTTTTAGTTGTTGCAACTTTTAACTTTCACTTCGCTACATTTCAAAACCAAATGTCACATATTACATTCTGCACCAGACCTCGTTACATTGGTATTAGTCGCCTGTGCAGCACCTGAGTGGAGCAGCACTGAAAAACAAAACTGATAAAGCCGACTCAGCGCGAATCAACTTCAGCCAGCTGATGCGACACGACATACGCAGTGACAGTCCAGCACAGAGCTGGACGGCCCCGCCTCACTTTCCTGTCAAAGGTGAACGTGAATGTTTGATGAGAGGATGAAGAGGGACTGTCCTTCTAGGCACGAGGAGAGAAAAAACTAAATGACACTCAGCCTAATGTGCAGCTGCAGTGAATCTGTCTGTCTGTCTGTCCTGCTAAGCAGCTGAGCAGCGCTGGTTTAAATTAAACTCACGCATTCAGCAAGAAACATCTGTGGACCAGTCCAGACAGGATGTGAGGGCACTCCTCATACATCATTTAAAAACAAGACAGTGAAGTTTAGTTACAACTCTGGACTGATGCATGATGGGAAGCAGTGGATTCACACTGACTATTAAAATGTTGATTAGCTGGACAGACTGGGCAATATGGATGCACATGTCAGTAAATAATAAGCAGCACATATTCAGCCCAGTCATTTTATAAATATTATATATCTGAAAAGCCAGTTTGAATGGGCCTGATGCAGCTGATAATATTAATATATAGAAAATATCTAGAATTTACAGGGGCTGTGGTGCCGTTTGTCAGATTAGATGCTGGATCATCAGCCAGTACGAGCACAGCCAGAGATGTGCAGCCAGCATCAGATACAAGCAGCTCAGACTCTAATGGAACAGTTGCTGCTCCACCAAATGAGCCAGCAGATTGGCCCCCAGTCTAGAAGACTGGGAATCTAAAATATATAAAAGTTTCACGTTTTGACTTAAATTACGGACAGAAATGAACTTTCTCAGCATATTCTACCTTTCTGAGATGCTCCTGTAAGCCTACTTCATTTGATGTTCTTTTTTATTGCTTTGTTTTAACTTGTGCACTATTTATGCCTGATATTCTCTTTTTCTAATTTGTTCTTCTGTACATTCTGTTTGAGCATCGTGGGAGGAGCCTGGGAACAGAATTGATTTGCCACTCTTCAGGACCATGGGGACTGAGCCGACCTTCTACGCCTCCTGACTCAAATCTGTTTGACCCCCGACCTCTGCTCTGAACATTGATCAGGTAAATGTTTTCTAACTTCATCTCATCTGAGTCGTGCTTTTGAGTCTTCATATCTGGGTCCAGAGACCAGCTGACCTATTAGGAACCTCTTATCAGGAGACAGTGGTTCAGCGATCGTGAGAAATAAGGGGGGTATCAACATGAAATGGAAGAAGTCAGATAATGAGTGTGTGCACGTCTTCCTTCATGTGGGCAGACGTGATGATCCTATTTCTGCTAGCGTGACTAAAACCACACGTTATTATGCGTGATCACTTTAACTTTTATTACAGCCCAGGGGCCAAAGTACCATTTTTCAGAACAACCTGATTTTAAAAGATAATGTTTCAGACAGAGGTATATTTTAGCTGTGGTTACTAACTCACAGGTGTGGTCTATCAATATCAGGTGGTATTTTGTACAAATGTAGAACGACTTCCGTATAATTTCACGTTAAACACAAGTGGCACATTGTTACTGTCGACCCCGTCAGCTGGGACAAAAGTAACACAACAATACAAGCTAGATTTTTTGTGTTACCCTTGTATTTAATAAATAAACATGACTGTGACCTTGTTAATGTGTAACTGCAAACATCTTTTGTCCTTTATCTTTAAAAAAAAAATAAATTAAATTTTTATTTTAAATATTCAGTTTCAAAAGTATCCTGACAGCCCAAGCTTTAATTGTAAATGTGTGCACCTAAAACAGGGGGAAATGGTTAGGTGGAGACTGTTTATGAACCTGACCCACAATAAAATAAGAATTTACTGATCCTGCACTGGAAATATTTGCACGTTGCAGCAGTTTCAGAAACAGTGAAAAAATGAAACATTGTTTAGAAAGATAGGACAAAAATGTAAATAAACAATAAAATGATGATGAAAATTAAAAAGCTATTTACAGAATAGGCCTGTCAAATTTTACATGTCTGACTGATTCTCTTTTGTTCATGTGAGTTAGAAGCCTTGCAGCAGAGTTCTTATTCAAACAAGTGAAAAGACAGTTACAGTGATCTAAAGGAGACCAAATAAAAGCATGAATGATCCTCTCAAATTCAACCTCTGACACCAGAGCTCTTAGTTTGGATGTACAGTGTTTCTCAGTTGGAAGAAGCAGTTTCTAATTAGAGAGTCCAAAAAACTCTTTTTGTGAGCAGTTTGTTCTGTGAGAGGCCGTTTGGGGGGAAAATACTGAAAATGTTCACACCTCATAAACTGGATCAGATAAGGTCTTTACACCTTATTTTTAGCTGTATGTCAGTTCTTTCCATTTAGGGGGAAAATACTGAAATTTTCACACCTCAAAAACTGGGTCAGATAAGGTCTTTACACCTTAAATGTAGCTGTACGTCAGCTCTTTGACAGGAAAAAGCAGGCCCGATCTGTTTTTAGCTGGGACGTCATCTCACCGCGGACTTTACGCACTAATGAGTTTTCAGCTAAACTGAAGGTTGTGATGACGCTTTGTTTATTTGCCACAGGACAAACGCAGCAGTACTGATGATTTTGGACCGTCACAACCATCAATAAGCCCAGTTGTCATGGAAACAGTTATAGCACTTGCAAATATCAGGCTTCCCAGGAGCAGCAGGTGCAACTGATGGCACTCATACACAGATCAAACGTTTTTATCTTTCACTTCCAGTGTGTACGCAGCCTGTGTACATAATGTGGTCTCTTAAAAATTCTTAATTGGGACGATGATGCTTGATAACTTTTCAGCTCAGCTTTGAGCCAAGACATTTTTTACTCTTCAGTCAGTTCTTAGCAGTGTTCTTATGATTAATTCTGAGAAGCTTGATAAACACGTGGTGTTTAAAGTCCTACCTGAGCTCCACAGCAGCAGCAGCAGCAGCAGCAGCAACAGGTGATCCATGTCCAGGTAGACCGTCTCTCTGGCCGTCCGCCTGCTCTCTGCTCTGATCATCACGTGCTGTCCTCAGTGTAGATCTGTGTACAGGAAGAGGTGGAGCTTTACTGGAACACAGCTCATTCAGCTGGCTTTAGTTTCACAGGGAGGAGAGTCCTCGTCTGACTGAGTCTCTGTCACAGGAGACAGTGAGACCAGACCAGAACACCAGGGCAGACCAGAACACAGACAGTGAGACCAGACCAGAACACCAGGGCAGACCAGAACACAGAGACCAGACCAGAACACAGACAGTGACCAGACCAGAACACAGGGCAGACCAGAACACAGACAGTGAGTCCAGACCAGAACACCAGGGCAGACCAGAACACAGACAGTGAGACCAGAACACAGACAGTGAGTCCAGACCAGAACACCAACAAAGCTAATTTTAGTGTGTTAAAAACATTATCTGGCCCACTTTTTTGACAGGCTGCGGCTGACGAGGAATTAATACTAAATTTGAAGGATATGTTGAGTGCTTCCAGTTTCTTAACACATTCACCATGCTTTTTCTGTTACCTATCAAGACAGGGATGGAGAAGACTACCAGCACATTGGGCCCCGGCTTGTCCTGGGAAGAGTCATGAGTGCTATTTTCCTTGTAGCCTGGACACAGCACATATCAGACAGAGCTTACTGGGCTTTTGTATGCTGTGTTTGTGACAGATGTGTCAAACCTGGAGGACTTGGAACCAGTGGTGGAGGTGGACGGTGAGGGGGGTTTATGGTAGAGAAAATGGGAGTGGAGCGAGGGAAGGTGCGGGGAGTAAATTTGGTCCCAGCTCTAACCAGGTCTTCCATGTGATCAGTGAAGTTCAACAGCATTCAGAGAGCCGACCGTGTTCAACATCAGCATCTTGATGCTAATTAGCAGTACAGGCTAGTGCTATTGATAGGCTGCACTCGTGTAGCACTAAGATCATAAAAGGTTTTAAAGTATGGCAAGAGCCAACTTTATCTGACAGTCCCAGTGATTTAAAAGTATCCAAGAGCTGCTGATTTCTAGCAGGAAAAAAGAGAGAGTTTAAGCAAAAGAATGCAAGGAGAAGCAAGAGCAAGCAGCAAGCAGTGTAAACAAGTTTATGCATCCTTAGGTGACCTGATCTACTAAGAGCTTTGCCACACTGATCACAGCTGTATGGTTTCTCTCCAGTGTGAACAGGTCTGTGTTTTTTTAGGTCACCTGATGTACTGAAAGCTTTCCCACACTGGTCACAGTTAGGGGACAGCAAATTTACACTGCTATACAAGCTGTAGACTCACTACTTTACATTCTAGCAACGTGTCATTTCTTCATTGTTGTCACATGAAAAGATATAATTAAATGTTTACTAAAACTTTGACTCTCACTTTTGTGAGATCCTGTATGAGCCTCACTATTCATACAATGATGAGGAGAGGGTCCTTCAAAGCAGACGACATATTTTCTGGAGGACCATAGTGCCGAAACGATCAGCCAGGGGCTGGAGGATGCACCTGCATCTTGGGGAGTTACCCTGCCTTTCGCCTGATGTAAGCTAGGATTGGCTTCAGCTCCCCGCGACCCTGTACGCAGGATAAGCGGTTGACGATGGATGGATGATTTTATTTTTTATTGAATGGTGGTTGTTTGTGAATTTGTTTTTCATGCATGAGCTTTGCATTTAGTGTCTTGTATGTATTCATTTATTGTTTTACTGTACAGTACTTTGTGTCCACTTTGGATTTTTAAAGAGCTCTATAAATACATTTTGACTGATTGATTGATTGATTGATTGATTCAGCCATTCTCGTTCACACACTGGTCACATCCCACATTGATTATTGTAATTCTCTTCTCGTTGGTCTTCCTCTCAAATCCATACATAAACTTCAGCTGGTTCAGAACTCTGCTGCCCGGATCACCACCAGAACACCTTCTATGAATTATATCACCCCTGTCCTTCAGCAGCTTCATTGGCTCCCAGTTAAATACCACATTGATTTCAAGAATCTGCTCCTGACCTTCAAGGCCAAGGCTGTAATTATAGTTGTTAAGTTATAGATTTATTGCTCTACTGTTTTATTATGTTTTGGAAAGTAACCTTGATTGTTCAGAAAGGAGCCTATAAATAAAATGTATTATTACTATCATTATTATTATATGTGGACCAGCCGAACCACACGTCTGTATATGAGCCTGACGATTCACTTCATTCGAGACACCCTGCGTTTGTTTACAGACAAGCTATTTCCCAGATGACCACACGGGATAAAATATAGCCAGATGTCTCAGAGTAGAGCTTGAGTCGTGGGAACTGCGTGAAGATCACCTAGTCAGTGTCACCACCACGGTAATATATCTGTATAGCCTATGTTACACTTCTTCATATACACCGAGAGAAGTGTGAAACTACCCCAAAGTGCAAAGAGCCGTTTGTGTCTGCAAGAAGTTGGTGAGTGCCTTCTCTAATTCTTGGAAGAGAAGAGGTGAACTGGCCAAGGCTCAAGCAAAACTGGGCTGACCACCAGGTGGGGCTCCCTGCAACAAATTATTGAAGGTGACTTGGATGTGCTGGAGTCCATGAATAAGACATTGAGTCCTCTTATGGAGTTTACTGATGCCTTGTCTGGTGAGCAATACAGAATGTGCATAACGATTAGGGAAAAGGGGTAATTCTTTGTGACAATTGCACACTTGTCAAGGCATAAGATATAGAAATAGTAGCAAAAGGTAGATAGATAAAGATATACTGTGAATGTAGGTATAAATCTAAAGGAGTGTGGGTATCTACAATATTTACATTAGACAATATTGCACAAAAGTAGATAACATGGTCCAGTTTAAAAACTAACTAAGTGTCCGTGTGTCAGACACTTAGAGGAGGAGTTATAGAGTTTGATGGCCACAGGCAGGAAGGACTTCCTGTGGCGCTCTGTGGTGCATTTTGGGGGAATAAGTCTTGCATTGAAAGTGCTCCTGTGTTTGAGCAGCACATCGTGGAGTGGGTGGGAGACATTGTCCAAGATGACATGAAGTTTGGACAACATCCTCCTCTCTGACACCACCGACAGAGAGTCCAGCTCCACCCCAACAATGTCACTGGCTTTCTGTTAGCGTCCGCTACCCTCAACCTGCTGCCCCAGCATGCAACAGCAAACAGGATAGCACTGGCCGTTGACGTTAGTCTTTAGTTATATTATTATAAAACAACTGAAATGATTCACAGACTGTACAGACAGTCCCATTGTCTCTACTGTTGGATTCAGCTGTTCACACGCTGCTCGCTCATACATAAATATGAAATGGATAAACGTTAGATGACACACGGTGTAAAGTTATGTTACCATGACAGCAGAGGGACAGAAATTGCTTTTAACATACTTAATTGCAAAATTTGCTGAAAAGGTTGTGAATAAAATTAGATTATCAAATATGATTAAGAACCATTTTATTTGTTGAGTATATAATTTAAAATATAATAAGAAATTTGCCTCTTCATATGGTAATAGAAACTATTTATTCATTGAATTTACAGAAAACATTTTATATGGGGATGTGAAATGACCTATATAAGCCTATGAGATTTCAGTCATATCCCACAGTCCTAGTGGCACTAGCTTTAAAACCTATAATGGGGTTACAAACAGAGCCCGACAGATATGGGATTTTTAAGTCTGATACCGATTTTGATATTTGAGGATTTAAAAATCCGATATGCCGATTAATAATGGGTGGATTTGGCTGTAGGAAGAGCGTCCTTGAAGTGGAGAATGTGGTGTTTGTACATTTTTTGGTGCACAGTCCAGTTTTCTTGTAAAGGCGTTCCAGGCAACGACCCCACTCCTGTGCAGAGTTCCATGATCCAGAGAGAGCAGGAGAGGTACGGGTGAGTGAGAGAGAGAGAGAGGGAAGAGCGAGAGGAAGTGCTGTGTGAATGCGCTATGGCGCTCTGCAATCAAAACAAATTTTCAAAAAAAATTTGAAAATCTATATGTGGCGGTCAGCGTTGATATTGTGGCGGGCCGCCACAAAAAAATGAGCGTCTGGGAAACACTGATGTCTAAATACATGAAGCGACTGAGACCATAAACTCATTAGGAAAGTGTTGAGACCAGGAGGCAGAGTCGCAGTCTAACACACTTCTCTGCTCCTCCATTCCAGGAGTTACTTAGTGAAAGTGCTATAGTGACGGTGTCTGTCCCCCGACCATCGAAATTATTTAAATCAAAGGTAAACAGAAGAGGAGCTGTGCATAAAAACCTCATAAAAATTAAAACCACAAGAGCAATAGTGCAAACTAATAGGAAAATTAAATGTGGAATCAGAGCTCTCTCTTCTAAATGAACTAATATCAGATTATAATATTGACTTGTCTCACTGAAACCTGGCTGGGTGAATATATCTAAATGAATCCACCCCTCCCAGTCATATTAATACTCACATTCTCCACATTCTACTCACAGAGTACGGTCTACACCCGACTTATTTACGCCCCTCGGGCTAATTTTCACGTCATAGCTCACAAGCAGACCGGGCATCGAGCCTGCATAAGGCTTCTCCTTTTTATATTATAGACAGTCATCAATTAAAGAAACTATGCTGGAGATAGAAAACAAATGAAAAAGCTTTCACACTGAACACATGACGGTGCGCGTGTGTGCACGTGCAGCAGCATGCAGCGTGCTGAGTCTTTTAATGTAATATCTGTCTCTGTGTTTCTCTGCAGAACAGGTCGCAGATACACTTTGGCAGCAGTTATTCCACCTGTATGTTATATATAATATACCAAGTAAAGTACAGGTGGGAAACTCTGGATTTAAAGTTGAGTATGCCTACATGTTGTAAATATTACACTGCGCCTACTTTATGGTCTTCCAACTGCGTGTGTCACATGACTGCTTTGGTCCAGTCATGGCTGAGTCCTGCCTGCTAGTTAAGACTACTTTAACCCAAGATGGTGATGATACCAACAACCACAGTAATGGCATGTTTTCTCTGTTTCTTATTCCTCCCAGAACAGGTACACGCCTACTAAAACAGCCACGTTACAGCTGACTGAAGTAACTACTGAAGCTACACTTTCCTGTGACAGTGAACGCAACTCCTTCGGCTGATGAAACAGCCACGTTTTGCTTCTTTAGAAATAACGCTACAGTGTGGATGCATCATTCAGCAGGTGTGTGATCTGCAGCCACCTGCAGGTCAAAATATGAGCTGCCGACAGTGTTTGA